CGCAATCCGCTGTGCAGGCTTGTACTGACTGTATGTCAGCTCAGCGCACAGACGAATATTGCCCCACCTGGCCTTGATATCATCGGATAGCACAAGATCAGGCTTGCACTTGATATCGCTACCAGACACTGCAACCATGGAATTGCTTGTCGCTCCATGTGTGCAAGTTGCAGATAGCGTGATTAGCTTGTCTTCTGCTTCAGCCATAGCAGTACAAAGAGCATTGAGGAATGACGAGAATATCTCTTCATGGGTGACACCTGGCTGAGGAAGAGCATCATTTGAGTTGACAGATGACTGAGGAGGTGTCATTGGAAGTGCCCAATTCCAAAGTCCAGCTTGGCTATCATACAATGGCACGATATCATCCTGGAGAGTTTTGACTGAAAATTGTGTTAATCTGTATGTCGCTGATGAAGGATTTTACTGAGTTTGATTCTAAGTGTGTGTGCCTGGGGAACTTTGAGTGTGAAAGGCTTGAAGATCAGAGGGAGTAGGTAGCCTAGTGAGCCATTTGCCAGGGATTGAGGTTCAGTTGTCACTAAACGGTCGAGTTCAATGGTCAGTCATTTTGTTCAAAGTAGCTGACTGTCCTTGACAGGAATTGACAACAGTGATGCCAATTTCATTCCAGTCATCAATTGTCCTATAAAAGTGCGGCATAATTGGCACTCAGTGAGACAACAAAGAGGGATGATGACAGTGAGACTCAGAGGTGTTGCTTATCACCGCAGTCTAACTAAAAATAACACAAGATTCGTACAAAAATCACTAGGAGTTAGCAAAAGCGGGCATATTACAGTTCAAAAAAATGGTGCTACATTGAAAGAGGGAAGAAAATATTTTTGTCCCAATACTTATTGAGCCAGAATTCTTCAGCGTGCTCCATACTGTTATATTGAGTGAGACGAGGGTCTGCACTTGCACCAAAGCGAGGGATAACATTAACAGGCGCTCTGAGCTGAGTGACTGGTATCACATCACCAATGCGAGTCCCGTTTGACCGTTTCGCCCTCTTGAGCACTTGTAGCTGCATAGCTGATTCGCGCTCGCTATTGTCAAAGTGTTGCACGTAAGTGAGGAAGTGATTCTTCAGAGTCCCCTGTGTGCCCGTCTTTCTAATTGGACATAGAATAAGCCTCATTTGAGCGACAACATGACCTAGAAACTCAAGAGTTAGAGAGCACTTAGTATAATGAAAGAAGATCAATCACCGCGAAGACCATCGGCAGGCCATGAGTGCCCTTCCTCATTATTGACAATAACAGTGTCATACTGACCAAATGGCCAAATTTCAGAAGGTGGTGTGCAGTTCAGGGTCTGTGCAGGCCGCATGCTGGTGGCATTGTGAAATTCTGTATCCTGGAGCCGAAGTTTGAACCATATTTGCAGTTGTTCAAATGGAAGTGAAGCATTGCACACAGCCCTCCTAGCCCCCCCAAGCGGATGAACATGACCATATCCGTGGATATCTTCATGACGAAGGAAGTCAGTGATGGCTGGTTGTAAGTCGGGAAGGCCGAATCTAAGGGCAGCATCATCGACGGAGATGGCCCTGATTGATGGGCTGTAGGCGAGATGAAAGGCCGTACGTCCAACAACAAAGGTGCGCAATGGTAGAGGGACTGTCCCTACCTCCCTGTGTCGGAGAACCTTTCCCATTGTAAAGTAGTCAGTGATTGGACGTGCATATCTAGGGCACTTGACCGTGGCCAAGAGGTCTGCAGGGAGATCGCTGTCGTCGTCATCGTCGTCGACATCAAAATCAATGACGTCATCAACGTTGAGGTGTTGATCTAGGCTGGTTCGTAGTCTCAAGTCTAATAGACTTGTTGCGAGATCAAAGCGACGACATTTATCTGCACGGTCAAGGTGACGACAGATTTGTGAGTCGTAATTGTTGTTGTTACTTGAGCGTGCAGGATCTTTTATCTCAGTGATATGTGCATGATCCGTAGCGTCTGCACTCCACTGCATGGTGACACCGGTGTTGCGTATACTGGGAAATATATTGTGCATAAGCTCTATCTTCGGGATGTACCAGTTATCAATAGGCTTGTTGCATTGTCCACGACGAACCCAGCAGCTGTGATTGCATGTTTGTTGGCATGAAATTCGGCCAGTGCTGCGGAAATACACTCGATATTGTGATCGTCTATCTGTGGTGACTGTACGAGATAATGGAAGTCTGTCAGAGCTCATACAGCTGTCATCACAGTGCTGGGCACCGCATCTGCACTGACTACAATAATCGAGCACTGGATGTCACGTTGGGCACGCCCTGTGACCTGCTTTAGCTTTGAAATGCCACCATGGAAATGGCGAAACCCTGTCACAGGCTGCAACACTGAGAAGCGGAAATCAATCTCTGCTTCCCCGACTGCACATGTAATCCACTTGAGGTCGTGGTCATAGAACTCTCGGTGAAGATGGTGGAGGGTTTTGGGAGTGAGGAAGTGTGATGGGTCAGCAAAGAGCCAATCCTGCCAAAAAGGTTTGTCGACACCATTTAGATGAAACCTCTGTGCTTCGCGGAAGAAAGCTTCGATATCATTGGAATTGACCTTGCTCCGGACAGCAGCTATTTGTGCGAGTGTCGTTGAACTAGTTCGGGGCTCGTGTTGGAAAGGGTCGCCAGATTGCTTGAACATGGCCATAGTAACTGGCGAAGTTTTTCCACCAACGGCAGCCAACATCATGGCCTCCAGAGTATCGACGATGTAACTTGCGAGAGGAGTGAAACAGTAGCGACTATGCCCAACAGGATCTGACAGCATAATTCCTTCACGGGCTGCCAGCTTTAGCGACTCTAAAACGATATCCAGGCATTGATGGACTAGACGATCCCCTAGCATACCACGCATACATTTATTTTTATGAAGGAATTTTGGTACAGGGAGCAGGGCAGTGAGCACGAAAGAATTAGACGATGTCTTGAGTCGGGTGGACATGTGTATATTGGTGAGGCTGATGAGGAGCGGGTGTGCGATTCTGTCGCCCATCATCATAGATATATTTGTCTTGTCGGATGATAGAATAGTCCCAAGCAGCATCGCACCTCGTGGTAGAGCCAACTGCATCGAAAACGATGAGTACTGAGAGTGCCTTGAACAAGCGAAGCTACGCACCTGGATCTTCCATGCATCATCTCCTATCATCCATTCAGAGTACACACGGCACAGCTGCTGCACCATGGTATACACCTTGCAAGGCGTAAAGTCTAACTGGTCGTGAAAGGATGGATGGTTGAGAATACTGGAGATACAATCTAACAGGTCGCGCCAATATAAGACGACTGGTGTTTTTGTCGGATGCATTGTCTCAATTACTTGAGACATCCAGCGTGGACTGCTCGGCAACATTTCTGCTCTGCCTCACAGTTCCTTGGCCGATGAGAATGACAGAGGAAGACCCTTAATCTTATCATGCACATTGTTAGACTCTACCAATTGAAGATATTGAGTACTTACTATCTCAAGTGACAAAAAGCTATCTATCTTCCCCATGCTTAATCCCGAATGAAGTAGCCATGACGCAAGTTCCCAATTTTTTGGCCACTGAATGGATAGTAAAGATTTGTTGCATGGTGCACGCTGTTCTCATCTGAGTTGAACAAGTCAAGGAAAGTATGACCTGTGCCATACGTTTGAGAAGCTCCGGGGAACCAGTCGATGAAGTCGCCAGTCGGTAATGTTCCTTCTTCATTGATGAAACTGCCAGTAGAACCACCCTCATTTGAATCAATGTCATGTCCAGTATCCTCACCCCAGCCTCCAGATCCGTCATGGTCTTCGTACGTGTTTGTGAGATGGAGATGATCGTCCGGAATATCGAGCTCATCACCATCAACGTTCATAGACTTGGTTCACGCAGACTCCAACTGTATCATATCCTGTAGCCAGGTGCTGCATCCTGAGCGAGGCTGATTCATATGACAGGCTACAGCAACCTCATCTTTGAATCCACCTTTACTGCACGAAGGACACTGAAACATAACAGTATTAGAATAGAATGTATAGGTGTGAGAAAAACATGGACATGTGTGACGTCAAAGTCAGCTCGGACTTTACTGAATCTACTGCATAGAATAAACAAAGGCCAAATGAGTCAGCATTGCATATGATAATATTGATTATTTTAGTACTTATGTCTGAGTCGACCCCACTTGTTAGTCTCAACATCCACAAGAACATCCCCACTTCAACTACAGCATCTTCTCGCTTCCCTCAGTGCTGTGTTTCGCGTGCAGCTCACCTCCGAGTGCCAGTGAAAATCGGCAACCACGACCACAATCTCTCGGAATTGTACGATGTCACCAATGCTATTGGCTCGATGGTAAGTGGCTTGATATTTCCACCAGCAACCTATTGTCTAACATGTTTGTAGACTATCAAAGACACGGATGATCTTGAGGCCGACTTGCTTATGGAACTCGCGAGAGCGAGACAAGAGGTATTCAGAGCCGAGAAATCGTTGGCTAATTGCGTGGTCCGTGAGCATGAAGTTTTGGCCAATCTATCGAAGTTCAAATCCAGCATATCCAAGCGCAAACTTGACAAGGCAGACGTCGGATTGGGATACATGCGGATTGCCTTTAAAAAGCATGGTCTTTCTCACCAGGCGCTTCCTCATGCTCTGGATGGTAAGTCTTCTAATACATTGATATTCACGGTGCTATAATGGACAGGCTACAGGTTCTTACATCGAGTCGCAGGCCGCCAGTCAAAATATCACTATCCAATTGGATTGATGTAGGACCAGTGTATTTCATGGTCGCGCACTGTTTGTTGTATTACCTTACCGAGTGTTTTTTTAATGGAATGATTCTTATCGCACTGGCAGTATCTAGCACTAGTGATCTAAAGTTTATATTGGTATCATGCCATTGTGTGATACTACTACTAACCAGGCTGGACTTCAGAAGTGGGCACTTCCAACGACACCTCAGTCATCTGTCAACTCAAATGATACTCTTCCTCATGAAGAGATATTCTCGTCATTCCTCATTACCTTATCAAGTGCATTATCTAGCACTACTAGTATACTAGTAGTAAGTTATTCAACATTTAGTAGTATTGGTGGTTGTTGCTCAACTGAGACAGCGCTAGCGCTGGCAACCTTGAGAGCTGTATGTCCTGTCAGAGCTGTGCGAAATACTTGTCTGTGTTTGTATGACTTTTGTGAGCGCTGTCCGCTCTGTGAGAGTCTGTGGGAAACTGTGGGAAACTGTCAAAATAGGCATTATCTGGGGAGAAATTTGTAGTTTACTGATGACTTCCATTAGTAAATTCACACATTTCTTGGCAGACCTTTTTTCAAAAATTAAAACTTATTTTCAACTTATTGACACTTATTCACCTTTATTCACTTGGCTGTTTGTTTTTACAAGTCAAAAAAAGAAGTGTATGACACACAAGTGCCAAAAAGTAGCATAAGATCAGAAAAGTCAGTTCAAGTATTTGAAACAAAAATAAGTACAGCAAGTAAAATAAGTAGTTCAACTTGGTATGTAACCCGCAGTGGGTATCCCATGACCCATGTATTCCTGTACTAGATATATGGGTGTAGGTACAATGTATGTCAGTAGTAGCAACACGATAATGAGATCGACAGACTCACAAACTGCAAACAGTGGGAAATGACTTGGATCAGCATGGCTCTTGCTCGAAGGAGGATCGACACTCACTTCCTGCAAATGGTGGGCAACAACTTGGATCAGCATGGCCCAAGCTTGAATGAGGATTGACACACTCACTGTGGATGGTAGGCAACAACTTGCATCAGCATGGCTCGAAATTGAATAAGGATCAACACACTCACAAAGTGTGAACAGCAGGAAATGACTTCGATCAAGCTTGAATGTTGATTGACCACATCAATTTTTCACACAATCTCAACTCTCATGTGCACATGTCACATTTGAACATCAATTTTTTACACAAAGTTCAACTTCTTCATTCTCAACCTTCCACCAACTTCATGATGCCATGCATCATCTCACATGCCTCCAGGTAAGTCCTTTAATTTTTATTGTATTGTACTAATGTGTTTGCCCTGGTGCAGCCTACCCACTCACAGCTAACCTTACAGCCTCACCCCAAAATATTACCCTCAGTAAGTCTTCTATTTGTTTTTTTTCTTGTCTTTCATTCTCTCGCTTACTGCTCTCAGCATCTTGTCCTCCTCTCAGCATCTTGTCCTCCTTCTGGTGTCTTGTCCTCCTTTTGGCATCTCATCCTCCTTTTGGCATCTCATTCTCCTCTTGTGTCTCATCCTCCTTCTGGTGTCTTGTCCTCCTCTCACATCTCATCCTCCTTTTGGAGTCTCGTCCTTCTTTCGCGTCTCATCCTCCTTTTGGTGTCTTGTCCTCCTCTCGTGTCTCTTCTCACTTACTTGTTCACTAGCATCTGAGTCCTACTACGTAGCACTAGTACTACTAATACTACTTTGTTATATTATTTGCTTTGTCTGAAATACAATATTCTGTGGTTATTATCTCAACAACCATCAGTAAACTACAATTTTCTCCACAGAATGTACAAATTTTGTGTTTTTGTAACAGCCAGTGACAGAGTTGCACAGTGCCACCACAGGCACAGCAAACAATAGCCACACATTTCCAGTCACTCACAGTTTTGCAAGACCTTGCACCCTACTAGTAGGCTAATTATTGCCAGTGAGCTTGAGCACTTAGTAGTTTTCAATTTGAAAATCAGACTTGCATGAATTTCGTCGATTCCAAATACAAACAGAACTAAAAATAAACATGCAACATATATACTAACATATGGAGTATTCACAGCATAATACTATGAGTTGAATCAAACCTAAGGGGAGACATGAAGTCAATACTAGAATCAATCAAGCTGGGCGGTGAGGCACCGGCCCTCTGCAGCTTCTACCGAAATCACTGATGAATTTGCTGGTATCAGTAAATCTCAGAATGCCATGACATCATTTCATAGTAGTATAAATAAACTTACTTTGCAAACAACTCCTATGAGTTTGACCCGGAGTTGAACAACTTGGAGGAATGGCAGGAGTCCATCCATGGTTCTTGAAGACAACTCTCATGCAACCTAGTCCAATGTCCATATCATCCACCTGCTTCTCTGCCTCTTTGGCTCAAAATCTGAGCAGGCTTGCCAACATTTCATTTTCCCTTACAACACAATCTGCCAGTACTTTCTGTGCCCAATAAACTTCATGTTTCGCTCTTACAAGGTTCATGATAAGATTAGCTCCTGAGTTGGTTGGATCCTGTGTAGACTGTTCAAAAGTAAGGTGCTTAAAACTTAAGAAAATTTGATTGACTTCACCATGGAATTGACGGCATTAAGAACCTTGTATAGATCAAAAATTCCGGGTGACAGTCCTTCGCAACATTGTGAATTGGATGTACCTGACACACTTGCTGACAATGATCGCAGAATGCTCATCATGGTAGTGTAGGAGAGTCAATAGTATCAGAAAATGCCAATGTCGAGTCTCGACTCAAATCAATCAATCAAAGTCTTATGCTACTACCTGGCCTCATGCCTCACTGTCCATCATGTGGAAAAGTCCTTAAGGACCATATATCTATTGCTCATCATATGAGCCAGCCCCAGTCTAGCTGCAACACCTGGCTGGATGATATTATTAAGCTCAATACCATAATTCCACCCACCAAGGATCATCCCATGGACCCAATGAACAATAATGAACTTCCTATGCCTTATTATGAACCAGGACTTGGAGATGAGGACAATACATATGTCTTTTATGGTCAAGAAGAGGACATCGCACTGGAAGCGCATGATGGAATTTGGGACCAGGGCAAAGATGCAAATAGTGAAGTCACAGATTATTTTCCCCATTCCCCACTTGCCTATGAGGATGGCTATATGTTCTTAGGTTTATTCGACACTGACAAAAACAGAGGTCAAGCAGAAATGCTCCCCAGTGGTCCACATTGGAAGTCCCAAATCATTCCTACGGCACATCCTACTAAGTCACCCATAATTCTCTATTGGTGTGACCCATTAGAGTGCATTACAAGTATCTTCAACCACCTATTATTTCATGATCATATGGACTTCACACCTCGCAAGGTGTACACCACTGTGGAGAGGCTGTGTCACATCTATACTGAATGGATGACGGGAAATGACGCTTGGGACATGCAAGTGCATAACAAGTTGAATTTCAATGTTTTTGGCTAATGTATTCTTGAAGTCAGCAATACCAAGCGGCACAACTCTTCTTGGCACTATCCTATTATCCGACAAAACAAACATTACTGCCTTGACAGGTGATCATGTAGCTCATCCACTTCTTATTAGCTTGGCCAATATACATATGAATATGTGACTAAAATCTTCATTGAGTTCTTTCGTTCTCACTGCCTTACTACCTCGAAGTTCATTCATAAGGGGAAGCAGATGAAGGGTGTATTGGAGGATCACCTCATACATCAATGTCTAGACATTGTTCTCGAACCACTCAAGCAGGCTGCTCGAAAGGGTATCATGTTATCTGACCCCATTGGGTAGAGTCATTACTGTTTTACTGCACTGGCAAGTTATATTGCTGACACCCCAGAAGCCATGATGCTGGCGACTGTTGGTGGAAGATGTTACCAGTGACCATGGCAATGTACAAGCACTTCGGGGATGACTTCTAGCATGAACCCCACATGAAATTGACGACTCTTGCACAGCTTGCTGTTGTCCACTCATGTGCTGATCCTGTTGACCTTGAGGCTTTCTTCTGTGAAGTGCAGAAGTTTCATCTGAATGGTGTTGCTGAACCGTTCTTTCAGGACTGGATACTCGCAGAGCCCTCCCATTTCTTTACACCAGAAACCCTACACCACTTGCATAAGGAATTTTTGGACCATGATGCACAATGGTTCATCTATGCCATTGGAGAATCCAAGATCAATTTCTGATTTTCTGTCTTACAACCCACCACTAGTTATCATCACTTTCCTGGAGGCATCTCGAAGCTTAAACAGGTCACTGGTTGCTGTCAACAAGACATGCAGCAATATATCATTGCAGTGTGGGCAGATGCAGCACCTGCATGTATCATCACTGCCTTACATGTGCTCATGCAATTCCGTTATCTCATCCAGTCACCACACCTTGATGACGATGATCTCAAGTACATCTCAGGCACATTACATGAGTTCCATGTTTGCAATTATTGACGCTGGAGCTCGCCGGGGAAAGGGCAATAGACCCATCACTCACTGGTATATTCCCAAGTTAGAACTTATGCAGAGTGTTGTTCCCAGTATCCATACATCCAGTGTCACAAGACAGTGGTCCACAGATGTCACTGAACATGCTCATATTACTGAAATCAAAGACCCAGTGAGGTCTAGCAATAATAATAACTACAATCCTCAGATATGTTAACACATGGACCGTGCAGAAGAGTGTTGTCGGTTTGAGCTTGCTACGAGCCTTTTAGATCGTAAGCAGTGTGCTGAGGAGCCAGAGGATGTAGACCCTGATGTCGACGATGATGTTGACACGTATGGCATTTCCCCCAAACCACAGCAGCCTAGACATATGTGTCCAATCATGAACTATTTTGCTATCGCCAGAGCTCTCTGGTGCAGAGATGAGAATTCAGTTCCTGTTCCATTGCGCTCATTTAGTGTTAGATGCACAGCCTTCGATCTTGGGTATGATCCGTCCATCAGGAGTATCACTGTCGACGGAGTCACTGTGAAATTTGGCCTACCTGATCTGTGACCAGCCATTGCTGACTTCCTCCAGTGTGAGGATACTCATGGACATCAGCACATTCATGCCATAGGTGGCCCAAGGAGAGCTGGACCTACGGCTGACCTTCCTTTCAACAAAATTCAAGTCTGGTTCAAGATTTGCTTGCAAGAGACAGACTTCCACAACACTCACACCATCAAACCTGCTTAGACACTTAATTGTGCTCCACCCAGTGGTCTCTAGACCTTGGGTCATTATGACACAGTTATTGTGGAGACAACTGTGGGCTATTCATGGCCCAGTAGTCATCTCTCAGGTGAGTTTTCTGTCTAGTGTAATGACACTTGTTCTAACATCAACTACTTACCCTGCAGGTCACACTGTCACTCAGATCAGGCTTATCATGCGGCCTATTTGTAAAAGTGGCATGCAATGGTCATGGCAAGATCGATTTCTTACCTATGTTCAATGCTTTGACTTATCGAATGATTGTGATACAAATGCACAACTGCACCTGCTCAAGCAGGCAAAACATTTGAATGGAGATTGGATGGGGGACATTATACTCCTCTCTCAACTGAGGGCGCCTGTTAATCTGTTCCCTCATTTTGGAGCCACTGTGGATAAGCACCTCACTGCATATAATAGTATGGAACATGCAATGGAGTTTTGGTTGAACGAGTTTTGGAAAAAAAGCACTTTCTTTGCCCTATCAGCATAGTATTTAGTTCAAGAAAAGATCAGTTTTTGGTTATGGGAGTGCACAGTACCTGTTCCACACTGTTCTGAGTGTACATAGCAACCATTGTTCATCCTGTGCACTATGCCATCCAGTTGTCATTATTGAATGATTGACCTTAGGAAGAAGCTGTCATCCTTTGTAATGGCTCCCCCAATACATGACACCCAAACAATGGATAAACTCACAAATTCTGAACTTAATTGTTTGATACTCAAGAAACGTTAACCTGCTAACAAAGACGAACTTGGCCACCTATTGACTCATATCTTTCAATCCTTTACCACTGAGATTCCTATGGTGGAAGAGTTTGCAATTCCTTTGAGCAGTGTTTCTCAAAGTGCAAGGCTTGACGATCTTTGTACTTTCATTGTTGAACCAGATGGGGTTCCCATGATCAACCTATATAATACTGACAAAAATCGGTGGAATTGGGTGCTTCCATTGTCATATGAACGCAACTGTTCACCTACAAAAAACAGGAAGCAGAAAGGAGCCGAGAGCGACAAGGGAGAGTGAATCTTGGTCAATGAAGCTCCTGCAAACATGGAGTTAGCCCACCGAATTATTGATATCCCAACCACCAAAGACTTGAACATCACTGAAAGCAGCCTCTCAGAGTCTATATCATCTGGTGGGGTAGGGTCATTTGATGATCACATGCTATCCGGCAATAGCAAGGGTTCATTGGACCCATCTAATAATGGGAATGAAGTGATGTCCAGTGAGGAGGACTTTAATCAATCTTTGACAGAACATATCTTTGGATTATTCTTTAACATTGTCTCTGTTGCTCTCCTTGCAAAACAGCCTGAACTTGCTCAAACACATCATTTGTCGTGCAACTGGAGCACAGCAAACTCAACACGCCCAGTACATGGTGAAGATATCAAACACAAACCAGATCTGGCCTTATTAGACAATGTCAAGGCCTGATGGGACACCATCAAGGCGGTATATGAGCTGACTGCTAGCCTGTACATACCTTTGGGTACCCTTGTGAAGACTCTCAACACCAAAGCATACCTACTTCTAAAACATCAGCCCTAGAGAAGATTCGCTCTGATGATCTCACTGTGCATCAGTTATCGTGAACTTTGTGTCCACTTATACGACCACTTGGGTGGTATCATAAGCACTTGCACTCATATCGACCAACAACCTAACAAGTACTTACAAATACTCTCGAGCATGGTCTTCAGTGATCTTGAGTGTGTTAGGTATGACCCCTCAATTAATATCTTTAGGCACACACTTGATCAAACAATAAAGTCATACTCAAATTGGTTCCCCATCCACATCCAGAAGGACTTGAAAGATTCACAAGTCAAGGCTGCCAGTGAGGGAAAGGGTGAGAGTGAGGGCAAGGGTGAGAGGAAGGGCAAGGATAGTGAGAACACATCCTCTCAGGACACCACTAAATGAAAGATGACGATGAGTTCCCTGTGGAGCTCCCTATAGAAGTACTTGAAGACCCTCTGCGTTCACCCCTTCCAGAACCTATCGGCAAGATTCATGTCAACGACCATTACTACAATATGCTAAAAATTATATTCTCAAGCTAGGGTCTTGTTGGGTGTGGTTCCATTTGTTACCTGGCCGGGAAAGATGATGAAGAATTCATTATTAAGGACCACTGGGTTCTAGGGGGAGAGAAGGAGGCTATGAATGAGATCAACATGATGAAGAAGATGAGTGGAGTCTGCAGTGTTCCTACCCTCATCGAGCATTGGTTTGTTGAGTCCGGGAACAAAGTCAATTGAACTGCAAACTATCAGTACAAAGTTTTGCGCAGCCTTAAGCACATCCTGAACTCATGTTTGCCTCGTCTTGAAGCCATGTGCGAGGCCTTTGCATAAATTTCGCTTGAAGCTAGAGTTGCTCAGCTCAATATGTGACATCATGAAAAGTAAGTTCTATATTATGATGTATTGAAGATTTTACTGACCTACTGTTTAGTTTAGAAGGAAGCAGTGGAAGAGCGCAAGGTTCTCCATCATGACTGCAGTTTGAACAATGCTATGATTGAGAATGATGGGCAAGACACTCACAGGATGCTGATAGACTGGGAGTTTGCTGTTAGTATTTTGAAGAGCAGGAACTACACTGTCGGGGGCACTGTTAGTGTTTTTATTTTGCCAAAGAATGCCATGTTTTAACAAAGAACATTTAGGGCACATTACCCTTCATGTCCTAAGCACTTTTCTTGCAACTCCACCTTTGTGATCCAGATGGAGCGGATGAACACAAAAAGCCTCCTGTTTGAAAGCAAAGGATGCCCCCCTGGTTAGGCATAGCTACCATGATGACCTCAAGTTGATGTTTTACATCTTCGTCTGGATCTGTATTGAATTCAGAGGTCCTCTTAGCATGAAACATAATCTTGACAAGACTCATGACTGGATACCGCATCAATGGTCTGTGTCCAAATTTAAGTTGTGCTGTGATAGCAAAACATCATTCTTCTGGCACATGGAGCACTATGTCAAGGAACTTAGCAAGCAGTTCCATCCATACATCAAAAAACTCCTCCCTATCGCATTGGAGTGGTACCATCTGATGAGAGAAACAACAAAGGTAACCTTCAATGACATAATTGAGATGCTAGAGAGACATATCACAAACCTTCTGATGAATGAGCCGTCACCTGAGCTCCTTGTCTCATGGTGGTTACTCAAAGGCCTCAAGGCAGAACACTCGGTAAGCAGTGGCGAAGAGGGGGAATCACAATCACTCATAGATGAGGCCCGCAGTAATAACAAACAAGTCATAGATTACTGATGGACCCTAGAAATTGCACCCAAGTCAAAAAGGAGTAAGACTAGATAGGTGTTTAGCGAAATGTACTTACATAAACTTGACTTTACTGCAAACACTTATGTAATCTTTCTTGCTTTGATTTGATATACATTCTGTTTGAGTCATGTTGTGACATCATGAATATTTCCAAATGTACATCTTCACTCATGACTTTAATGTTTTCTAGTGACTACTGACTATGTTATACAGACAGTTGACTCGGCCATCTTCAAAGCACACTTTCAGCTTCGTAAAATTTTCACCTTTACACACAGGCTGCAGTTGACTCATATTTCCAGATATTATTTGTGATGATCATTCTCATTCCCACCACCAGACTACAAAAAGCATTTTGGTAAGTGTCTGGTTTAATTGGTACTACTCATTATCACTCTCAGCTACAGCCCCAGTCATGCCTGCCCACAGTAGCCCTAAGAAGAAGCAAGAAATCACGGGCTGGGGCCATGCCACTCTCCACGTTGCAGCAGCC